CCAGAGGGCGAGCGGCGGCGGCGGTGGCACGGCCCGGAGGCGACAGCGGCGGCTTCAACCGCGGCGGCCTACTGCCCGGTATATCTCGCGGGGCTTACTCCCTCCTCCTTTGTCGCACAGCGGATAATAGAAACTAGGCTTCTCCTGTGAGGGAGATCCGAACCCCAAATTGACACACACATCTTGTTCTTCGTTGCTTGATTGTTTTGGAACCAAAAGATTAGTTTTTTCAGCTACCCTCTTAGATTCTACTAGCTAACAATACATAGAGTAATATGAGCGGGCTGCACGGGGTTGGCGGCTGCGGCGGCAGGGCTACAGTTAGGGTTGTTGTGGCGGGAGCGCTTGGATGCAGGTGTTGGAAGATTACGAGGCTTGCCGCTGCGCGTTTCTGTACAAACCGATGGGAAGGGGCAGTGGCTGCCTCGGTGGAGGTGGCGTGGCTAGGAAACGATAGGCCACAGAGGAGGGAGCATCGATGGATTGACGATTGGAGAAGATCTGTCCAGGGACTGGTGATTTGTTGGTCGATTTTAGGAGCAGTGCACTGCTGTAGAGATATCCCCTTATTATTATGCAGTCAGGGTATAAATGATGGATTTTTTTATGTTCTATATGCCGTATTTTCATTATGTGTTTTCTACAAGTAGATGATTATCTCTACGTGTTGATGTTGTTGAGCATACTACAGATTTCTAAAAGTGCTGCCACTGTTGTGAATACTACGTACTGTCTGTCAGAATCTTAGACTCTGAAATTCACACCTTCTAATTGCACATGCTGAAAAAGTAAGACAATTGTGTATCTTGATGCTGTTGAGCATACTACTGACTTTAAAGAGTGCTGGTACTGTTGTGCATACTACATACTGTCTGTCACATTCTTAGATTCTCAAGTTCACGCCTTTCAATTGCACATGCTGAACAAGTAAAACAATTTTGTATGTAAACCATGGTTTTCGTTAGATGGGAAAAGTAGCTAGATGCGTTGATTCTCCAAATCTGTTTTTATTTGCCAGTTAGTTTTTTTGTATTCACTACTATGCTTTATGGTTTCGATTTTGTACTTTGGATCCCTATATACAGGGACCTGTTGGGTCAATATTTATGGGGAAAAATAATCCCTGTATAATGTTTTTTGCTTAGTTTATCATTTACTATCATACTTGTCAAGAAGGATCTACTTCATATGTGAAGTGTGCATGACTGCATGTTCATTTCTGGTATTTGACATCTTCATTTAATCGTCCGTGTCCCATTACCACAGGTAATTGTTAGAATAGTGGGGAGCAGATCTAGACCGGACAGCTCATCCGAACTGTTTGGGTTGTTGGATCTAGCCTTTGGCCTCTTGAAACTGTTGCGTCTCGCTGTAACCGATAGGAAGGACGAATAAATTGCCACGGTGAAGAAATCTCCCCGACCCCTAATGCTGCATCCTTCCATTCTCTCCCACACACAACGCGCTTTGGCGCTCACTTTTCTTCATGCCTGCATTACCGGCGCTTCCGCCTCCATGCCTCCACTCTCAGCCACCTCCGCCTATGGACCTCCTCTCCCTGCCGCCGCCGCGCCTGTTTCCTCCCTACGGCAACGATGTGTCATGCCTCCGCCTCCCCCATCTCCTCTGCACTGTGAGTGGTGCCGGCTCCTCCTCAGCCCCCATCTTTGGGTGTCCAAGACGAGGGGCAAAAGGTCCAGTAGGTGGTGCCATCTCCACCTCCACCCTCACCTCTTCAACGCTGCCTCCGCATTTGTGACCGCTTTGGTGCACCAGATGAGGACCATGACGTCCAGAGGTGGAAACACAGCCCTGGGGAGGCACCCCTTCAGGTCATCCTCACACCCCCCTTGCTTTTATTTCTCTGGCTTTCCTTCCTACCGTCCTTACTTCTTTTCCCCCTCATGACCGGTGCTCTATATTGCAGGTCTTAATTCATTACGTCATGCCTCTGGAACTATCGGGACTGAAGGTGAGATCAATTGCAATCGCTGATTCCCATCTATTCTTGGTCGTGGCCACATCTAAGTTTCTCACTGTGTAGTTTGGTGGATGGTCTTTTTTCTTTGTTCTTTTGCAGAGACTGTTCTTGGGTAGAACCTGCTGAGGCAGAGCTGCTACTAGACTTCTGGTGAGTGATTAGTGGTACATGACTTGTATTATGTATGTTCTGTACGTATATATGCAGTAAGTGCAAGGTTATAATTTGTTTGTTACCCTCAGTTGACTAGTACTCCCTCCGTTCCAAATTACTTGTCTTAGATTTGTCTAGATACGGAGGTATCTAGCACTAAAATGAGTCTAGATACATCCATATTTAGACAAATCCAAGACAAGTAATTCGGAACGGAGGGAGTATGTGTAAGTGACGTCCTTCAATCTGAAACTCATATGAAGAAAGGCTAAGAAATTAACTTGGGCATGTCAAGATATAACGTCCACAGAAAATGTCACGGATAAGAAGAGCAAATGTTGTATCACCAGTGTCAAATTTTGATGAACCCGTATCTGAAGGATCACCAATTGATGTTGCTTTTAGGCCAGCTTTAGAAACGCCTGGCCCATCTAGAATGGATAATGTTACATCTCCAGCTGGTCTATCAGAAAGTGAAGGGTCTGTTGCTACTGAACACAGGAATAAGGAAAAAGCCACAAACAGTGGCGACTTTGAGAATGAGGGGGCAAATTCAGCTCATGTGGCATCAGATTTAATTTTCTCGTCCAAGAAAAGCAGGATTCCGTTGAAAGAAGAACTTGAAGATGGTAGTATTCGTCGTCAAGGGAGGAGTGGAAGAGGCACTATTTTGCATGTTAAAGGGTGTTCATCCATACCAAAAGAGAAGTTGGACAGCACTGAAACAAGGAAGTTGGTAAAGAGTGTAAGACCTGCATCTGAAAAGAATGAAAGATGCTTAATGACTGAATTCTAGCGAACATGTGTATTGTTTTTTGTATCTGAAACTTATGGTCTTTAATTTAGTGCAGTAAGTTAGGCCGTCAAGAAAGGTTCGGACCGCAAAGCATCATCTCAGCACTCAGAAATTCTGAATTGTGGGTCAATGGATGCTACAGGTTTGCTGATAGACATTTTAATCTACCATCGAAGATCTTTGGTTTCTTTTGTCTGAAAGTTGATCCTGATGGTAAGCTGTTTGTTGTTGGTGAATCTGAAGATGACCGAGAAGAGCTTCTAGCTGCTGCAAATGCTGCCCATGGTGCCATAGGTGTGCAATTGCACATATCCTAGTTATCTATTTGCCATGCAAAGAGATGCAATTTTATATTTCATGGTTGATGAATTCCTTGTCCTTTTCTGCAGTTGGTGCGTATGCTGGTCCTTTTTGGAAGAAAATATCACCCATGCTTACTTTCATCAGCTCTGAAGATTTATCCTTCTTAAAAAACCAGGTTTGATTTTATTTTCCTTACAAGTTGGTACAATGGACCTGTTGTGTTGGGGTGAATCATCACTTACCGGAGTCTCTGGTCAGATAATATTTTTGGAAGAGCTTGAGATGGGCATGTCTAATAAGCACGAAGAAGATAAGTTAACTGCATCCACTAACTACAATGGGCCACCATCAATGGCACTTCCCCTTCTGCCACTCCCCTACTCTTATCGTGCAAGATGTTTTCAGTAAATCCTCAACTATTGTATTCCTTTATATGTCTACCCTACTCTTATCGTGCAAGATGTTTTCAATAAATCCTCAACTTCTGTATTCCTTTATTTGTCTACCCTGAACTGCAAAGATCTGAATTTGATATCCATGTTTCAAATATTATTTTCATTTGCAGGTTGAGCATTCCTCCCCAGGTTCTACCTCCATCCAATTCTTCTTTGTTGCTGGATCAAGGGGAAGCAAATGGTGTTGGACCAAGAGAATCTGTTGACATTTTGTCTTATAATGGCAAGAATCATAACAACACATCTCAAAAGGCACAGGGGCAAGGAATATTTGGTGAAATGGCTCCCTTGACAAGTACACTGCTCTGTGCTTTGATTGTAGAAGATGTTGATGACTTTCCCGAGTCCAATGGTGTCCAAGGAGATATACTTCTGGAGTTCTCCAATGACTACATTCCTCGTGCTGCCGCAGTTGAGTTTGAAGCTATGGGCTAGAATCCAGTTTTGGGATGTCCCCTGATTTCAAGCATTCATACAGTAACCCAGCATATAACTGCATGTCCAATGGTTTCTCACTTTCCAGTAATTTGAGGCGCTCATATAGTCAAATTTCAGTTTGCAGTAAGAATCTATCAGATGGGATAAATGTTATGGGGTATCCAGAAAACGGCTCTTTGCATAGATCAGTACCGCAGATTACACAGCAGTATCAAACTCCCGGAAAAGATTTATTTTTACCAATATATGGATATTACTATGCACAGATGTCTTTGCATGACAGGACTTTGGTCAAGTTGCACAGTATTGACATTTTTCCAGAGATGGTATGGTTCCTAAAAGCCTGATTCATGATAAGTTTGTCTATTTGAAGGTTATTTCTTTGTCATTTAGTTAGTTACAATTTTATACGGAAATGCTAAAAAACTGACTTCAGGATGGCAAATTATGTTGTCGCGAGGATGGCAATATCCTTTAGCAAGCATTGCAATTCCTGGCAAAAACCTGAACATTGCAAGGACTTGCCATTGCTTGCTAAAGGAAATTGCCATCCTCGCAACACCATAATTTGCCATCTCAGGCTTTCGATTTGCCATGCTAAAAAAAAAATCTGACGTTTGATTTGTAGCGTAATCCATTTTATATGCCTGGATTTCTCAAAATTCTCAAATAGTGTGAAACAGGGCTATCCAGATCATATATGTTTCTTAGTGTGAAACATATTGTTATCCACGCCTTATACGTTTCTTATGTGATTCCAATTTTTTGTTTCTTTTCATTTTCTTGGGAACTGTGAAGACAGTACATTGTTTACATGATATAAGCCAATTACTTCAACTAAGCCAGGCAAATTTTGGAATTCTGCCGTGATCAGGGCTGAAAGCAGGCTGTGAATTCGAAACCTTGAGGGGGTGTGGGTGGGTGTTGATCAGGCGTGGGAGTGTTGACCCTCGTCTTGCATCGTATGTTCCTGTAGGGTGAACCAACTGAACACATATTTTGACGATCCTTGAGAAAACAGATGCATCATAGATCATCACCTCATTGTTTTCAATAATTGTCTGTGATTCCATACGTCTCCTGATTAACTCAAATCATGGCCGTGGCGATATTTTTTCTGACTGCAGCCAGAGCTGGACGAGGGAGAGGATGAGGATATTAATAAAGTTATTTTTTGAGCCGCAGAAAAGACTCTTTGATCAGGTGGTTATATTCAGCATTCAATTTTGGTTAAACCCAACAGATCATTGGATAATAGAAATTATCATTTCATCTTCTCTAGAGTTCACATGAAGTTACTGTGACAACTTAGAGCATACTAAACTAGCGTTGGTATTAGTAGTTCTATAACTTGCATTCGAGGCTTCAAGCTTAAGTAGTAGTGAGACTAATAAGAATATTATGGTGGAATTGCTTGATATGTTGTTAAGATTGATTGTGCAAAAACTTGGTGGGTCTCATGTGACAAATTGATAGTACCTGAAACTAGTGAAATAGTATGACCTACATATACTTAATGTCCTTTTTCTCTTGAAGGTCACCGGTTCGATTAGTGTTGATTTTGGTGAAATGTGAGCCATCATGGAAAATGCAGTCATCTTCGATGGGTATAGAGACCAAGGTTTTGGGTACCGCTCGAGAAAAACGGTTACCGAGTTTCTCGCTGCGCCTCACTTGAGCCAAAAAAATCAGCCTGTTTTGAATTTTTGGCCCGGCCCAGCGAGAGCCAGCGAAGCCACGCTGCGTGTCGCTACTCACAGCCAAGCGCGAACCCTAGGAACCGAAAACGCCCAGTCTCTCTCTCGTCTCTTCTCCCCAAATCCCTTTCCCATGAAAATTTGGCGGCGGCCGGCGCGGCGGGAGTGAGGCGGCGACCAATCCACCCCTTGCCTCCCTGTCCAGCTGCAGCATGGACGTGCTCTCGCCGCTCCACGGCCTCCATCTGGGGCAGTACGGCGCTCTTCGTCATGGCGTCTGTTGCAAGGGGGATGGGGCGGGGTGATGGCGAGCTGTGAACTGTAGGGATGGCTGTCGTCACCGGCGTCCATGGCGCAGGTCATGCGTCTATCACCGTTGGTCAGGACAGAGGGGATGTGTCCATTCATGGCCTACCAAGCAGATCTGGAGGCAGAGGTCATGGCAGTGGCAGAGGGGATGTGTCCGTTCATGGCCTTCCCAATCCTTGATTCATATTCCGCCTTGTTAATACACACCTCCATTGTCTGCTGCGTCCTAGTCTTGCTATATGCCATTGTCTGCTGAACTGACACATCCCATCATGGCCTACCAAGCAGATCCGGAGGCAGAGGTCATGGCCGTGGCAGCAAGACTATGTTTCTGTTGGTCATTATGCTGATATGTGTGTTGTTGGTCTCTTAAGTATAGTTTGTGTTGCTATATATGCTGTGTAAACTGATGATATGATATAAATACAGTAGCTATGCTGTCAAAAATTCATTTTTTTAGTTTTTGGTCCAAAATATTTGAATTCAAAATTTGAAATAAAATTTTGTCCGAAATTTACTCGGAATTTCGCGGTAACCATGGTAACCGCATTTCCGAGTGACCCACGAGAAAAATGTCCTCGGTAACCAAAATCTTGATAGAGACCGCTATAGGTATTATATTTTAAATAAGGTCTTCTATTTATGTAATCTTTTCACATTTATATGACTGCTATATTTATATCAAGTTCAATTCTCTAGAAGTCAATTCTTGCTTGCACATTGTTCACTGAGAAAACTTCATTACATGAAGCTAGGAATAGAGTTCTTGGAAACAGAAAAGTTGTTGATTGCTATCAATGTGATTCCGAGTAGTGTTTGAAGCTAACATTGTAGTAGCTCCCACGAATGCTACCGAAGCTTGAATCCGTGGATATTTCCTAGCTTCAGAATTGTTTTGGCATTGAGCATTTTCTCGAACTGGCATACTATTATTGTGGCATAATTACTGTCAACTAACATAGAACGGAAGATTGCATGTCATACTAAGCTCATGCATTTGCCCTAACATATTTGAGATTTGTGCAAAAGTGATGTTATTAGAAAAATAAATCATACATGTCAGTAAAAAAGGGTGAGTTCAGTTTGCTGGGTGGAATATCACTAGGGTACTAATAAATTATGGTAAAATGTCTGATGAACGTACATATCTATATGCTTTTATGGGCACTGTTTTAATTTTGATTAGGGATACCATTGTTATAAGTAGGAGATTAAAACCCTTTTCCTAATAATTAGCTATCCATCCTGTATTACGGTGGTAGCAAATTCTTACCGTTACCATACATTTGGTGTGGCACGCAGCAGTAGTTTAAGTACATGCAGAGAATTAGCTCTCAAATTGTTCCTTTAGTAACCCAGATAGAGAATATTTCCAGTGCCTTATTGTTTATTGGTGATAAAAGAAAACAAAAGTTTGCATCGAAATGATCTAACATCTGTTTTATTGTGGATTGTGCCTAATTCTAAAATTGTTTTTTGCAGTATGATGATATTTTTGTTTACCTTTGTTTCCAAGGAAATCTTCTATAGACCTTGCTCAGCCTCCCTGGAGCTTAGGAGTGGGACGCTTTAGCTCTGGTTGCTCTCCTCTCACCCCCGATTCATGCATCAGGGCAGAAGCAGCACTGGAGGTGGCTGGCGGTGGCAGGGAGACCCCGGAGTTGAGGAGGCCAGAAGGGCTCATGTGGCTGTCAACGCCCATCATCTCCATGTCACACTAAAGGTCATCCTATATTATCTCATAATTCATAGGTCAAGAGTTCGCTACCCTTCATCGATTCAATTTGTATGCATTTTATTTTGTACATCCATACCCTGGTTAGTTTGCCGGCCATCCTCCTCATATCCAATCTGCCATGGTTGTTCAATAATTATGTTCCTTTACTTTTTTCTTGGCGCAGTGGTAAAGCTGCTGCCTTGTGACCAAGAGGTCACGGGTTCAAGTCCTGGAAACAGCCTCTTACAAAAATGTAGGGAAAGGCTGCGTACTATAGACCCAAAGTGGTCGGACCCTTCCCCGGACCCTGCGCAAGCGGGAGCTACATGCACCGGGCTGCCCTTTTTTTTACTTTTTTCTCCATCCTGTTTATGGCTACATCCTTAGATTCATTACACATTTGTATTTTCAGAATTGGTAGTATGCCTAAGGTGCTTATTAATTTTGTGCAGCAGCAAAAACTATTGAAGCTCCGTTTGAGATATCCAACAAAGTAGTCACATGGCTCATGTAATCATGATAGCATGCTATACATTAGTGGGGCAGAAGTAAAAACAATACATTGAGTGGGGCAGAAGTGTTGCAACCTTTAAATATACTAGATGACCAGTTGCGCCAATGGCGCAAAGGCCAAGGGTAAACCATGTATTGAAAGAGTGTACATTAATATTATTCAGGCACATATTGAAACATATGAGAAAAATCCACTTACTATAAATACAAGCGATGCAATACCCATATAATGTACCAGGACATATCTGTATTAATAGAACCGTTAATTAGTTAGACACAAATCCACACCCGAGAAGCACATTGCACAGGGTTAAAAAATTTAAGCCTCACATTCCCAAGCAATCTTAAGGAGGCCAACAGAATTGAAATCACTGATTGAAAGTATCAGCAGTTAGAAATATTTATACACACAACTTCTTTATTGTAGTCATATGATGATGAAATCGGTACGTAAATCAGCACCAAGGATAGCCGATCAGACAAATAAAAATCCTGCATCCCACTGAACAACAATATTATGCAGGACTCATTTTAAAAGGCCCTCAGTTCTAATTTCTATAAGAGCTTGAAGCTTTGGAGCCAAGGCTACGAACCTTCTCTATTGTGACTTCTAAATGTACCTATGAAAGTAAGGATCAGGAACATTCTCTATTAAACCAACAAACTGAACAATGAGAACTTGAAATATGTAAAAGTACTAATGAAAGTATTTAATCTGTGCATGTACAGTGGACAAAGATTACAACACACGGCATGTTGCAAACATCCTAACCAGCGTACTTTTGATGTAACATGAGAACTTGAAATGTGTTAAATAGAGAGAAAAGGCTAATGACCTGTCTACAAATTAGAAGTGAATTGAATATTTACTATAATGTAACATGAGAACTTGAAATATGTTAAATAGAGAGAAAGGGCTAATATCTGGTCTAAAGAACAGAACAAATTTGAATATCAGTTTCGCCAACCCTGGATGATCCAACTCACTTGGTATAATCCAGGAAATTAGGGAGCAAATATAAGTAATCCTTCAAGACGCTAGCAACATCTTCAGGATTCGACGGAAGGCATGTAGTGGAGTACTCACAGAGGAAATCGCTGCCGGATAGGCCCTTGGCATCGAACAGAAGACCGCACCTCGTTGCATTCTTCTCCTGCCGTTGTAGCTCCCTCTCCTGTGTCCTCTCGAAATTAAGGAAAGAGCAGTAAAGTAGTGAACAGAGGTATCTAAGACGTATAACTCAAACAACAATTTCTTTCGCCCAAACAAACTAAAAGAATTTTATGTTTGGTAGCATATATCCAAGGGAACAGACATGTTGTCTGTCTTATTTCCTTGACACACATATACCGAACAATAAAATGGATCACACCTTCTTTTATACATATAGGCAAGCCAACCATCCAAACGGTCTATGTATGTAACTAAATCAATAATCTAAAACCAGCAAGCAACATGCTTGAGGGAAACACATGCTACTCTCACAAGCACGATCTGGTTCACAGGAATTAGATACAGATTGTTTAAATAAACAAAGGGAAACACATTGTACTCTCCCAAGCAAAACCAGAAACCTGAATAAATGACCGGAGGCCAAGTTCACATATGCTCCAGCCATGATTTGCCCCCAATTTTCTGCAACCAAAATGAAAGTGTGTCATTAATTTAGCAGCGGGTACAAGCACATACTTAACAAGGGACAATCCTAACTTGGGATTCAGAGGCAAGAAACAGTTCGAACATGTGTGCGTGACTAATTTAGTAGCTGGTACAACCACTTAACAGGGGACAATTCTAACCTAGGTTTCAGAGGGAAATGGTTAAAGAGGTAGTAGGATTTAAGTCCTAAACAGTGTAGCATGTAAAATATTATGACATCACTACATAGACAGAGCTATATGCCTATGCTAAGCTTCAGTCGACTTATAAGTTTGTTATCACTTATAACTACAGAACATGTCAAAATCATAAACTAGAGTTAACTCTATCTCTACCATTATGTTTTTCATACAACTGTCAAATTTTACCAATCATGTTTATCGGAAAAAATCAAATAGTGAACATTGGAAAACGGACCCAATCATGTTTAGAAGAAGTTATGTACATGCAACCTAGAGAAACAGTTTATAAAGTACATAAATCCAATACAAATTACCTCAAGAGCAGCTTCCAACGATTCAGATGAGAGACTCAGTTCTGATTGTATATCACCAACACTAACTTTTCCTTGGTCAATTAGCTGCCAAGTAAAAGCATAAAACCCACTTAACTAATAACACCAAAACATATGTACAAAAATCTTGCTCTGTAAGATTAGCAGGTACCTTTCTAAGAAATGTAGAAACATCACCAGAATTGCTCACAAGATTCCCAGCCCATGTAGGCTGATCAACAACCATATTTGTGCATTGAACTTGTTGATTTTCCGAGCCTCTAACATCACATGTTGAGGTAACGAGCTCTGTTGTCTGTGCTTTGTTTAGGTTGGACAAACCTGAGCTCATGGGTGTGAGGTTCATGAATTTGTCTTTACTCTTGCGCTTAGATCTTATTTGAGCAGAATTTTCATCATCCAGCCCAACTTATGTGGTATCCTGTTCAGCAACACCATTGACAAGGTGTATGGAGCTAATTCCTCTGACTCCAGAATGCTTTGAGCAAAATATCCACAACTCAACCTACAAACAGATATATACAAGAAAAATATTAGCAAGCATAAACAACCAAGGTAAACAACATACACGAGAAGAAATAGCCTACCATTCTTAAGCCCAGATTTTCCCCATAAACTTGATGTTTTTTCTATCTTGCGCATATAGGATGAAAGCAAGCCCAGCATGTCCCTGGAAAAAGTAAGCAGTTAGTAACCAAAAAGCAACATATATCAACAAGGTTAAAGAAAGTGTTAGGTGACCTGGTGGCCAGATCCATCCCTTTGCGTTCACCAGCAGGGGAGTACATGAGAGAAGAAGAGATCTGGAAGAAGGGATGGGTGGGGAGCAGTAGAGAGGAGACAATACCAAAGAAATGACGTCGCGCATCCGCCGCGTGCCTTGTCCGGGCAGGAGGTCCGGCCCTGCCACACCCCTCTTCTCCCCTTCACGTCCCTCCTCTTATCTCTCTCCCTCTCATCTTCTCACCCCTCGCTCCTCTCCAGATGCCCCCACACTCTCCTCCTCCTCCTCCTCACCCGTCTCATCAAGCGCAAAGGGCAAGAGTGAACCAAGGACTGATAACTTGATCGAGGAAGAAACTTCATTTCCTTAATAGCATTTGGCATATTAGAATAAAAATGAAGTACCATCAGGTTGATCTCTAATTTTCACTGAACTAACAAAAACACATTTTACACTGCCCACGTACTACTATTACTGTCCATTTGGAGTAGAATTTTTAAGTGAATGTTTATCTACTGCTGCACTCAAGTTATCATATGCTTGAACTAAAACATTCCTATCTTCAACTAAATATATCATTGTGACCGAGCACACACAATCCAATAACTAAAATACTACAGTTATTTGGTTACAAAAAGAAACTTAAGTATGGAATCAACAGAAGATAAATAGTATAACTGTTTCACAAACTAATATAGCTACAACTTGTTTTCTAGTATATCTTGCAGAGTCGCATTCATGACCAGATACCACGTAAGTAAGCTCTATATTGTACTTGCCTTAACAGAGGTTGAGTGTTGCACGATGAGTTTTGTAGCGTCCGCATGATCCTTGTTCATGTGGCCCTGTGGAATACACGCAGCTAACTTGAGCATAAATACGCCAAATTAAGATCAATAATGGCCAATGCTACAGCATCAGCTTGATTAGCTGAAATTAATGAGAATGATATACACACTACGCTGACTGAACTTTGTACACACTTAAGACAGCAAAACCAATGCATGGAGTTCTACAATAATTATCTGTCCTTGTTATCTCACATCAGCTTGATTAGCTGAAATTAATCAGAATGATATACACACTACGCTGATTGAACTTTGTACACACTTAAGACAGCAAAACCAATGCATGGAGTTCTACAATAATTATCTCTCCTGCTTGTTAGCTCAGCAGTTTGTAGCTAGCAAAGCTCTAGTATTCACATGGAGTGTAAAACAAATGGCTGGAAACAACATTAACCTGGCTTTACCTAAGTTCGTAAATAGAAGGAAACTCAATTGGGAACCGACATCAAGATTTGATTGTTCCAACAGGGAATGACTGAACATTTATCCGGACAACAACAAATCTGATCTGTTGTTTATAGTGTTCAAGTGCAGCGTCTGATTTGGTGTGATCGTCAGACATAGCAACTGTGAGGAAAAATGCAGAAAAGTTCAGGTAATCCAACCCTATGCTGTAAGGAACAGATTGAGGATTTAATAACCAGCCAATGCAGCATCAAATACGGTTACTGATAAGTGGCAAGAAAACTGCATGTATAACAGTATATATCGCGGCAGACAGAGGTGATTAGCTTTCAAGGGGATAAATACCTTTGGTGTAGCCGCTGCAGGCGACACTGGACGGACCAATGTTCTTGTTCCTCCGGCAAACTCTGTGGCGACATTGGACGCTTCGTGCAAATTTCGACGGAATTTGATGGAGATTATGGCCCAAGGACGCAAATTGATGGAGATTCCGGCCGAGGACCCCTCCATCTTATAGCAGCCAAGTTAAATCCTGGTCGGGCACTCAATCGATCTGTGTTGGACAATGACACGGTCACGAATTCAGTCCAAATCAGACACCGGAGTAGGATATCAGAGATTAAGAAGCTTACCTACAGTTCACGCAGCCTAGCAGATGCGTATGGGCTTCTGCTGCCCACTGCCTCTACTTGCCACCGCTGCTGCTGCTTGCCACTGCTCCTCCCAGCTGATCTGCAGGCCCTATAAGAACTAACGGGATGACACGAGAACAGTATGGTATAGAAACAGAAGATCTGGGCAAGAAGGAATGGAAAAATACAAACCTATATTATACATACTATTACAGTTCGATATGAAGATTCTCAAGAGAAATGTGTAAACTAAAATACTAAAAAGAATCATAGCCAATTAAAAAATGGCTGCATACACATATACAGATTTTCAGGAGAAATGTGTAAACTAAAACACCTAACAAATATTTGAATCATGTATATGCAAAGCACATTGCTAGCACGACCCACCATGCAAATGATCATCATAAATACTTGTGAAGCTGTCTCAAGACCCTCTCCCATTTGAAGCCGCACCTCCCTGTCTCTCCTGCAGATCGAATCCAGCGCTGCCGCCATCGCCGGGAAGCTCGCCTCCGCACCCGGGGCAGACGAGATGCGGGGTATGGGTTTATTAGCCCCAGTAAAATGACTTGCTCCCTTAGAATTCTTCGCATAAAGTCACGAACTGTAGTTCAATATATTTTTTATTTCTCTGATACACCTCTCATTAGATAAATGGATCTGGATCTGAAAAATATATACTAATGGTCAACAAAAGTAGAGTAGTCCCTTTGGAAAGGGCAAAAGGGAATAAAAGCACGGCTAAAATATATACCATTCATGCCCTGTCTCAACAATTTCTGCATCTCATCATAATTAAAACATGATTCGCATCTAATCAGAACTAAAAACCAGTTAACAGCTCGATCAATGCCAGCATTTAAAATCTAAACACCCTACAATTCTGTAATGCAATAGCAAAGAAAAACTGAATAGTGGTTGTCCCCCTTGATTCTTCAACATGTCCTCTCTTCTGCCTCCCTATCCTACAATACAACAACCAAGAAATAGAGCAATTAATCATAAGCGCATAGCAATAAGACCAAAAAGATTGGTTCAGTTGAACTATTAGTAAGCAGGAGACACGACGAAGATCAAGAATTTACAGACATCATGTGCAAACATGCAACATATCATCATTGCAGTACTGCCGCAAGTATCGATCACTAATTACAATATCATGACAGAATGCTCATGTGGCCATTCTTATCCCAAGATATGCCACCTTCTTCTATGTGGCATATTCTAATGCAAGTATGGACCAAGAATATGTTCTAATTACTTGCTAGCACTCCAAGATAATTATAGAACATGCAAGTATGGGCCAGCGAATCGATTATATGTGCAGGTACAAAAGATAAAGTGGATAACCAGCCAATTAGATAAAACTGTAAAAAAAATAAACACCTGACTGTACTTCCACTGAAGCTATTGCAGCATAGGTAGTTTTTTGCTCTTGGTCTGCACCAATGGACCCAAGGTATCATGCTCTTGTGTTAGAGAATACCATGTTTTCTTTTTTATTCTTTGTTTATATTGGCATGTGAAATGCAATTCACCACTTTGTACTCAGACTTGTTTTGCCCATACACCAGAAGCACCAGAAGGCAAACATAAACAATAAACAGGAGGCAACAATGAATTAAAAAAACAGAGGATATGCATATGCTAATGAATTAAAAGTAAACATTTGGAAATATCCCAAATGGTAAAGCTATCACGAGAAGTTTCTTATGAATCTTTGTAGCAATTTTTTAGAGAGCATCAAACATGTAATCAGATAATTCTTTGTAAGCATGCATCCAAATTCATACTTGGACAGAGTGTAGAACAAGGGGCAGCAGATCAACACCCCCTTCAGTAAACAAACAGCCACCCCTGGCAATACTGCAAAAGAAATCATGTAACTCAGATAAGCACTGATATAGCCATAGAATATATGAACAATCAGATTCAGTTGACCACTCTGTTCCTGCCAATGCCCTCCATGAGCTAATGAGAGGATCGATTCAATTGAAGGAAGCTTCCTCGTAGCAACATGACCAAAACTATATGTGATTGCAAGCACACGGGATTGCTAGGTACAGATCAATTGAAAGAAATCTTAAGAACAAAAAACAAAATTTCCAAACATGCATCTTTTGAGCAGTACATGTATGTGTTGCTTATTCACCTTCTTTGCCATGGCTTGCTGCTCCAAGCACGTGCAGCCCCATATCCTCCATGGTTTGCTACTCCAAAACTGAGCAGCCCCCAAATCCTCCATTTTTACTGTTCTGTGTGTTTCTTCGTGTGAGAAAGGAGAAGAAATGACATAGAGAGATACATACGGGAGAAGGGAGAGAAGGGACGTGGTCACCTGTAGACTGTGGTCAAGCCGCCCTGGAAGCAAGGTCCCGCCCGACCTCGCCGGTGCAGGCCGACGCCGGCGGTGGAAGACGACGAGCCGGCGGCACTCCTTCCGGTGGTCCTCTCCTGTTGGCCGTCGACCCCCTCTCCTCTTTCCTCTCTCTTTCTCCCTCCTCTCATGTTCTTCCTTCTCTCTCTCCCTCTCATCTTCTCTATCCCGCAGATCAAATCGAGCGGCGCCGCCACCGCCCTTTGTCTGCAGGTCGTCACGCTCCTTCCGGTCACCCTCTCTCATCCGCCGTCACACCTCGCTCTCCTCTTTCCTCTATCTTTCTCCCTCCTCTCCTTCCTTGTCTCTCTCCCTCTCTCATCTTTTCTCTTCAGCAGATCGGATCGAGCGCCGCCG